CCCTTTTCAGCGATGATTACTGCCTTTAATCTACAGCCCTTCACCTATGTTTCTCAATTTAAAATAACAAGAAGCGGGCCTGGCTCAGTCAGGTGAGACCCCAGAGTGCAGCCTCGGGGCAATGAAAATGTGCCTTGTTCACCAATAACAACATACATTTCTTTCAGGACCTCAAACTGGAAGACATCGCAAGAAGACTGGAGTAACGCAGAAGTTGAGCCAAAGAAGGAGAAATTAGGGACGTTTGTTCAAAGAGGTGAGTTTTAAGGGGAGCTTTGAAAGTGGATTTGGGGTTTGGTGGAGAGTCTTCAGAAAAGTGGGTCTCAGATCACTGAAGGCAACTGCAAGACTTTCAACTGCAAGGCAAGGAAGGTGGGCTTGCACAAGACTCAATGTTAGCGGAACGAGGAAAAGTTGACAGGCAAGTGTTGCAGGTCTTTGAGCATTTACTGAGGCTGGAAACTGTAAAAGCACAAATTAGAATCTTAAACTTGAAACCTAGTCACAGAGGACAGGAGCAATGGGTAAATGTGAGAGCTGAGGTTCAGACAGAATTGAAGATAAAAGACCGGCAAGAGATTGTTGGAAGAATTGAGTCTGGTGTTGACAAATTCATAAGCAAGGGTTTCAGCAATGAATTTTGTAGAGACTGGAGAAAGTGGCCATACACATCCTTTTTGATCGAGATGATGTGAGGTCAGAAGGACAGCTGAGGGTGGTCATGCTGAACAAATGAACCAACCTCCTTGGTGACTAAAAATGAAACTAACATCTCTGTGTTGCTTCTGTATTAAACATATCTTATTCAGAACAGAAGAAAATCCTTGTCATTCTCGCAGTGTAGGACGGATTGAGAGGATCGGGAAAATGCTGTGGCTTGTGCCTGTCAGCCTTCTACTTTTCTCTTCACACACCCTCTGCACAAACCCAGGATTGAAAGTGAGAGTAACTCAGAAAGCCTTAGATTATGGTAAGTATGGCTAATTCAGCCTGGTAGTCTAATCTCTGTGGATGTCCTCGTGAAAGTGCTGAAGGTCTCTGAGCATTTGGGGTGTGTTACAATTCAAGCTGTTACACCTGTCCATGTGTCAACTAACAGATTGATCTAAGTCTCAAACAGGTGAGCATGGAAATGTAATGCATGTTAATTTCTTTCTGAAAAATTATTTTATAGCAATTTTTTTTTCCCCAAATGCTAACACTTCTTGGACATCTTGGATTTACTTTTTGTTTTATTTGGCTCTGTTATAGCAAAAGTTTTTTTTGAACTACAGAAACTTGTGACTTTATTTTTCCATAAATAACTAGGATTGCAGATTTTTTAAAACAAAAATAAAGTTATTGATCTCAACCTAGATTAGTTGTACACAATGACTACAGGAGCAGATCATAGGCTAGGAATTGTGCATAACTCACCTCCAGACTCCCCAAAGCGTGTACATTGTCGACAAGGCACAAGTTAAGAATATGATGCACTACTCCCCCACTTGTCTGGATGAGTGTGCCTCCAATAATCATTCTATTTGATTGGCAACCCAACCATCATCTTAAAAATTCATCTTCCACCGCTGAGACACAATGCAGTATCTACCATCTGCAAGGTGGATTGCAGTAAATCACCAAGGCTCCTTCAGCAGCACCTTCCAACCTCCCAACTTCTACTTCCTAGACATACAAGAACCTTTGGGCAGCACAGTGGCTCAGTGGTTAGCACTGCTGCCTCACAGCACCAGGGACCCAGGTTTGAATCCCCCCTCGGGTGACTGTCTATGCGGAGTTTGCACATTCTCCCCGTGCCAGTTGGGTTTCCTCTGGGTGCTCTGGTTTTCTTCCACAGTCCAAAGATGTGCAGGTTAGGTGGATTGGCCATGCGAAATTGCCCATAGTGTTCAGGGGTCTGTAGATTAGGTGGGTTACAGGGAGATGGGTCTGGGTGGGATGCTCTGAGGGTTGGTGTTGACTTGGTGGACTGAAGGGCCTGTTTCCACACTGCAGGGATTCTATGATTTATTAAAAAAAGACAGATGCATTGGAGCATTAACACTTTAACACCAAGTCACACACCATTCTGACTCAAAACCACATCACTTTCACTGTCATTGAGTCAGAACCCTTGAACCACCTTCCTACCAGCTCTATGGATTGAGTTCAGAAGTAAGGTTGTCTTATTGCAATTATCCAGGGCCTTGCTGAGACCTCACTTCGAGGAATATGTGCAGTTTTGGTCTCCCTAACTAAGAAAGAGTACGTTTGTCATAGAGGAAGTTCACTACGCTGATACCAGGGATGGCAGGGCTGTTGTACGAGAAGAGATTGTTTCAACTGGGTCTATACTCATGAGAGTTTAGAAGAATGAGAGGCAATCTGATTGAAAAATATAATATTCTACAGGACAGACTGGATGCAGGGATGGTCTTTTCCCTGGTTGGGGATTCGGGGGTGGGGGGGGTGCAGTTTCAGGATATGAGGTAAGCCATTTAGGACTGAGACGAGAAAACATTTTCTTCACTCACCTGTGAAATTTGTTACCGCAGAAGGCTATGGAGGCTGTGTCACTGAATATATTTAAGAAAGATATTGATAATTTTTTTGATATTAAAGGCATCAAGGAGTATGGGGCGAGATGGAAATACGGCTTTGACATAGAGGATCAGCCATGATCATCTGAATGATGGCCCCTGCAGACTCAAAGGGCTGAATGGCTTGATCCTGCTCTTTTTGTCTTTGTTTTCTATGAACTTACACACCAGCAGCAGTTCAATAACACAGTTCACTATCACCTGCTCCACTCTGGCCAATTAATTATGGTCTAGTTAGTGACATCCATGTTCCATGAACGAATAAAAAAACCTGGATATTTACGTGTGGGCACTCACTTTGTGTAACAAACAATTATGTAGGCTAATAGATCTCAATTTACGAGATCAGTATTATCAAAGAGAAATATGGACGAGGCACATATATAGCTACTGCTGCATTATCTCATCTGCACAAACTGATTTTTACAACCAATACAGTTCACTCAGCTCTGACAGAGGATCTTTGACCTGAAGGATTAACTTGAATTTTCTCCACACATGCTGTCTTACCTCGCATTGCTAACATTTTCAGTGTATACTACAGGTAAACATACATAACATACGTATAATGACTGAAATACCCAGCAACATTCAGTAATCAAGCAAATATCACTCATGCTTATTAAAAAGAAACACTCTGCTTTACATCTTACCAACAAACGCACAGAATAGTTAAAGAAGAAATGCACTCTCTCTAAGAATATGCCTATTCAGATCCCTATCCAATGTATCCATGATTCAAGGTTTACTTACTAACCAGAAATGTCATTTGATCCTTAACTCGCCATCTGAGTCCTTGTGTTAATGCTGTGCGCGAGAGAGATCCAGTGATAGTGTTCATCAAAACATATCTCCAAATTTTCTTTCCCTTTCGAGAGGCTATAAGCAGCTTGGCATCAACACAATATCTGGCAAGGCCAGCAACTGCAGAGTTCTCAGTGGAATGGATATTGTGAGGTAGGTCAAGTATAGCAGTCCCTAGGAGTAACCATTCATGGAGGAGAGTGCTGGTTTGAAGCTAAATGCATGAGCTTCATGAGTCTAATTTCCAGCGTGCAATGGAAGGCTCTGGTATTGTTTAACATCTGGTTTGTCACTCAGGTCGACAGGTCGGGATTCAGGTGTTACAGCAGAAACTCAAGGAGATTCAGTTTCCAGATGTCAAAGGAAAAGCCCGTGTGTCTGTGTTTGGCCGCGTCAAGTATAAAATCACAGGGTGAGTGTGTGAAGTGTTCTCCAGGAAAATGTACGGGGAGAATTTGTTTCAAATTGACCCACTCCCATTTTTAATGACCTTGAAATGGAGTTGCGTTGCATGGTTTCTCAGGTGCGAAGTTACCATGTTGGGGAGGAACTGCAAATTTCCAGCTGGAACTGTACCATCCACCAAACAGAGTCATACAGCATGGAAACAGGCCCTTCAACTCAACTCATTGATGCTGACCAGGTTTCCTAAACTGAAGTAGATAACTTACTTGAATATAGTCAAATTAAAAAAATCATGTCCCAAACGTGTGACTTGTATTAGGCTCTCTGTTTATGCAAATAAGGTGCTTTCAAAATAAAACAAAGTTCAACCAGGAATCAAAGAGTCCCACAACATATAAAGCAGCCATTCGACCCATTGTGCCTATACTAGCTCTTTGAAAGAACTATCCAATTAATTCCACTCCCCTCGTTCTTCACTCCATAATCCTCCATAGTCTCCCTTTAAAATATGGATCCAATTCCCTGCTGAAAGCTACTATTGAACCTGCTCCCACCAGGAAAATGCAGACATTGCACATTGCTCTAACTTTCATGTGCGTGAAGAGGGGGATGAGTTAAAAGGGAAATAGCCTCTTGCAGATCTTTACAGTCTAGTTACAGCACACTGACTGCAGTGGTTCAAGAAGGCAGCTCACCACCACCTTCTCAGGGCAACTAGGGACAGGCAATAAAGGCGGGCCCAACCAGTGACCCCCGTGTCCCAAGAGTGAACTAAAACAAAAAGGAGGAAGCCATTCAGGCCATCTAACTTCCCCTTTCAGAGAAACTTACAGTCCTACCATCACAGCCTATGCTGAATGTGGGGGCTGCTGGTGTAGTCCTAAATCTACTCCTTCTAATCTTGAGGCCATGCCCTCTTGTCCGAGCTTCACCTGCCAGTGGAAACATCCTCTCTACTTCTATCTTATCTATTCCCTTCATAATTTTATATGTTTCTATAAGATCCCCCCTCAATCTTCTGAATTCCAATGAATATAATCCCAATCTACTCAGTAGCAATGCAAAGCTCTGATACATATCACCCAGAATTTCAGAGAATCCCTACAGTGTGGAAACAGGCCCTTTGGCCCAACAAGTCAACACTGACTCTCAGAGAATCTACCCAGACCCATCCCCCTATAACCCACCTACTCTACACATCCCTGTACACTACGGGCAATTTATCATGGCCAATCCACCTAGCCTGCACATCTTTGGTCTGTGGGAAGAAGCCGGAACACCCAGAGGAAACTTATGCAGATGCAGGGAGAACGTGCAAACTCCGCACAGACAGTCACCCGAGGGTGGAATTGAACCTAGGTTCCTGGCACTGTGAGGCAGCAGTGCTAACCACTGAGCCACCATGCCAGATCTGATAGAATGGCTGGGTTCTCTAGTTTCTCCTTTAACAAGTTACAGACAACTCCCACCAGAGTGTTATGAATGAATTTGCCCAGGTGTCCCACAACACCAAAGCAATCAAATCAATACAAACACAAGCTGGTAACAATGCAAAATATTCCTACTTTATTAGGAATAAAATTCCAATAACCGTACTATGTCTAATCCTATTTGGCCCCTTAAGGTTACAATACTTCTGGACTCTCTTGTAGAATTACACAGTTTCTCTCTCTCTCTGGCTCTGTCTCTGGGCCTGTAAAGCTGCTTTCTCTCTTCCTCTATCCGTCTGGATGGTCAGCTGGTCACTGCCTTTTGCCATGCTGGTCTCCTCAGAAAGCCTCCAGAAGATTCTGAGAGATTCCAAGAGAGCGGTTTAAAGGTGAACCCTATTTTTATATATTTTAGGTGGTTGTCTGGAACTCTCTAGAGTTCTGGCCAATCGGGGGAGACACTTAATAGTGTGAAACAAAATCAATCATTCAGATGGTATGCTACTGTTAGTTTCTTTGTGTAGCGGGATCCGGTGCCTATCTGTTTGGGCCCTCCTTTGTTTAGTGGTTAAGTTGTTGGGGGTATGTCTGTCCAGGAAAAATGTTGCCTTTTACATTATGCTAATATCATTAACACCTGGCTGCTATGTTTGCACTGTGTCTGGTATGTGGGTTTTGTGTTTTCAGAGTTTTACTTGGCCAATGTACCCAGCATCCCTTGCTGTTTGGCCAAGTTAACAATCTGTGTTTTAGCAGCCAGGAGACTTGAGACTCTAGCAGACTTGAGAGACTGAATGGCCTCCTTTCCAATTCTTCTGGCTTAGAGAGATGAGTTGAGCAGACTGTAATGTGGTGGTCTGCAATGGTTGGTATTGAATATCCTGTGACACGCAGATTGCTTTTGGACTCTTTCCAAACTTTTTAAAGATGTTAAAAAGCATGAAACTCAAAGTTATAAATTCAAGAGACTTGAACACAAAGTGAGGGCTGATAATTCAGTACAATACAAAGGGAGTGCTGTACTCTCAGAGGAGCTACCTTTCAGATGAGACACTAAAAAGAAGGCAGTATCCACCACCTGAAGCAGATGTAAAAGATCACATGACACTAAAAATGGATTGTAAGAAATTATCAGGCTGTGTCTGTGAAACCCTGCAGTGCATAAGTTCTTTGGTCTGTTTTTTATACTGCAACAGTGACCATACGTCCAAAGTATTTCATTGGCTGTTCCTAAATTCTTTTCAGCCAGAGGTCATGAAAGGTACAATATAAAAGCACATCCTTACTTTAGAGACAGGAACAGACCGGTATTTTAATAGGACGGTGTTGTCACTAAGGCAAGATAATCCCCAGTCTCTCAGTTAAAAGGTCATTCACATGTCTCAGCTTTCAGTCTACTTCTTCAAACAATTGCAATACTAACTATAAGTCATTGAGTCTTAAAACTGTGTTCTGCTATATAATTTCTACAGAAGTTTCCAATGCTCAGCCTGTGTCATCCTTCCCATGGACATTAACAGATTCTAGATGTGATAATCATAGAATAAATCCCTACAGTGTGGAAGGAGGCCATTTGGTTTGTCAAGTCCACACTAGACCTCTGAAGAGCATTCCACCCAGACCCTATCCCTGTAACCTGCATTTCCCATCATCAATCCACCGAGCCTGCACATACCTGGACAGTATGGGCAATTTAGCATGGCCAATCCATCTAACCTGTACACCTTTGGACTGTGGGAGGAAACCGGAGTACCTGAAGGAAACCCACGCAGACACAGGGAGAATGTGCAAACTCCACACAGACAGTCGCCCGAGGGTGGAATTGAATCGGGTCCCTGGCGCTGTGAGGCAGCAGTGCTAACCACCGTGCCACTGTGATGCCCTCAAAGAATTCTGAGCACAGTGGAAGTTAACAACACTAACAGTGTTATTCAAGAAAGAGAAAGTAAGAAACTACTGGTTAATGTTAACATTACATCATTCATTGTGAAAATATTCAAATAGAACAACGAAATAAATAGAATTAAGGAAGCTGAAACAGTTTTTAGAAAATAGTGTGTTCAGACAAAGTCGACATGGTTGTACATAAAGGGAATTTGTTGTTAACAAACCTATTAGAGATTTTTAAAGATGTAACTAGCAGCGTGGTTGAAGGGAGAACAGTAGATGTAGTGTGCTTTGATGTTCAAAATGCATTCAATAAAGTGTCACACAAAAGATTAATGTGCAAGCTAAAGGCTCATGGGATTGGAGGTAAAATATAAACATGAATGGAGAATTATTGAGAGTCAAAAGCAAATGAGATATTTTCAAGTTGGCGGGCTGTGATCAGTATGTGGTAACAGGATCAGTTCTGGACCCTCAGCTATGTAAAAAGTATTTAATGATACAAATGAAGAGACAGAGTGCAATGTATCTAAATTTGCTGATGGTACAAAATGAGGTGGGTTTATAAATTCCTGAGGGGCATGGATAGGGTATAGATAGCCAAGGTCTTTCTCCCAGGGTAGGGGAGTCCAAAACTGGAGGGCAGAGGTTTAAGGTCAGAGGTACATGTGGGAAATGAGCTGCCAGAGGAAGTGGTGGAGGCTGGTACGATTACAACATTAAAAAGGCATCTGGATGGGTACGTGAATAGGAATGGTTTAGAAGGATATGGGCCAAATGCTTGCAAATGGCACAAGGTCAGATTGGGATGTCTGGTCAGCACAGACAAGTTGGACCAAAGGGTCTGTTTCTGTGCTGTACAACTCTATGTGACTCTGTATTTTAGGATGTGTTTTACTGCTCCGGTGAGTTTACTTTTCACATAATATTTCCTGAAGTATGTTATATTTATATTTCATGTTATTGATGTCACTTTATCTGGTGCCTGTCAACAGCTGCGATGAGAATGAGACAATAATCTGTTGTTTAAATGTCCTTTACAGAATGCGGATTGACAATTTTGGCCTGCCTCAGTCTGCAATTGGATTCTCTGCTGGGACTGGCATTAAACTTTCCATTAGTAATGCCTATGTTCGTGTCAGTGGAAAATGGAAAGTGAGGTATCATTTTATGTGAGTGTTTCCTCTTGGTGTTTCTCTATCACTTTCCTTCTGTTCCCTCCTGAAAGCCCTGCATCATTCCATAATGCACTTAACCCTTTTGTATCACATTCAAAAGCCCCCAGTTTTTATTTGGGTCTGAGCATTGGGCATTGGGCAATGATCAGGAGTGATAGCCTCTGGAGCACACAAGTGCCCAGATTGTTAATAGTTTGCAGCTCCCATCACTTAACACAGTGCTGACCAGAATTTTGGACTTTCTCAATGTGTAACATTCAGAACCACATTAGAAAGTGCAGTTAGAAAGTGTGGACTAGGTCTTGGCTTTATGGCAATATGTGTGAAATGGTGTAGCCTGTTTTACAACACTCCAAGTCATACGCAAACCTTCAGTCTTATTCTGCCTGGCTTGTTTTAAAAATGAATATAGTGCATTAATATGAAAAAAAGTTTAGTATTTATAATTGCAGATTTACTTTGCATGGAAAATGAACATACAATCAGGATTTAAATAATTTCATTTTCTACACTTTTCACAGGAACGTACGACATATCAGAGGAAATACACATTATAATCATGGCTCACATGGTGTTATACAGTGCTCCCACAATAGTTACTAGACAATTTCACGTTCAACTTATACAATCAATAATCGTTACGACAGAATGAGTTAGATTAAATTATGGTCTTTGATATTATTTGCTGATTTACAGCTTTGGAATAGTCACAAAAGTGTACAAATTTGTAAAACTGTCACATGAACAGAATGAGGAACATAATTTTGGGAAAGACTGCAATGTGGAAATCTGTATGTAACTCAGTAAATGTGGTTTGTAGATTTTCGTATTTCTTTCCTGTTGTTGAAGTCTGTTTATTCACTAGTTTGATGAATTTCCTTTTTTTGTTTCCTTCACCCCACGTCCACTCTCCCTAAAATGTTTACCATTCAAGCTGCAAGGTTTTGGGGCTTTTAGGTATAAAACCCTTTTATCTAAAATGTCTAAGTTCTGAACTCAATTTATAACAATAAGGTTTTCAGTTGTGCCTGGCCTAATGAGGTAAAACAGCAAATATTTATGAATCAAGTTGAATATATTAGCCAAGTTATTATAAATTTTTTTAGTAGCACTGAAGACAATATGGACGGTTCTTTTTTTTAATCATTTAACCTATTTTTCTAATCAACCTGTTCAGAGATTGGGCTTTGTTGAATATTGCTGGCCCAGATAACACCTGTCTTCTCCTGTCTTTGAAATGCTACATTTAACTGTGTCACAGAAGAATGATACCACAGAAGCCATAATAACTCCTGCGAGCAAAGACTCGAAGCTTTCTACTCTTATCCCTAATTCCAAGGGCTTCCATATCTCTCATCAGGAAATAGCCCAGTTAATCTTTTCCATTGACTTAAGGTGAGGGTGATCTGGTGTTCCCCACACCTGTGTAACTCCAATCTTGTGGGTCGAAACAAATAATCATCTCCATTTCTTTTTGGTCCCAGAAATTACATTTAATTGAGTGCAAAATAATTGCGTGCTTACAGATGCAGAGTTGCTGTACAAACGATGCTGTATTCTCTTACCAATGAAGCGAACTAAACAATTCACCTCCACAACAATATCAGGAAAGAAATGTCTATTTTTAAAATGTAGGTGTTTGGTTTAAGAAGTCTAGTTAATAAACCAAGGCAATTAGGAAACTAAAGCCAATGTAAAATATATGGTTCTTGTTTAAGATAAAGTTTCATTCTCAGCCTGAGCTGCTGCATTTAAATCTTTTGCTTGTTTTTTTAAATGGGTCTCTTATTTACACAAACTTTAAGTAAAACAGATACAATTGCTTGAAGCCAGACTTTTCGGCACCTTTGAATGACCTTTAGATCATCAACATCCAGCTTCTTGCAAACAGCTTGTTAATTGTCAATTGTCTCATCGCAGAAACTCTAAGTGAAATTTCTTAAGAAAGATAGCTAAGACAAATTCTTAAAATGTTCCTCCAAACCAATATGAAAGCTTACAAATTAATAGTTTTGTCAAAATCTCACAGTTGTTTGGCCCTGCTCTCAAACTTTTATTTCAAATCCAATCAACAAAATTAAGAAGAGCCATTCGCCTGACCAGTCCTTATCACTTTTTTAATTTGATTTGATTTATTATTGTCACATGTACCTAGGTACAGTGAAAAGTTTTGTTTTGTGTGCACTACAGGCAGATCATACCATACAAAGTGCATCAGGGTAATAGAACTGAGTGAGGAATACAATGATAGGGATGCAGAGAAGCGAGATCAACATTAAATTTGAAATTTGAGAGGTCCATTCGGAAGCCTAATAACAACGGGGAAGAAGCTGTTCTTAAATCTGCTAGTCTGCGTGTTTAAGCTTTTGTATCTTCTACCTGATGGAAGAGGTTGGAAGAGATTATAACCAGGGTGGGAAGGGTATTTGATGATGTTGGCTGTCTTACTGAGGCAACAAGAAGTATGGATGGAATCAATGGATGGAAGGTTGGTTTGCGTGATGGACTGGGCTATGTTCATAACTCTCCGTAGTTTCTTACGGTCCTGGGCAGAGCAGTTACTGTACCAAGCTGTGTTGCATTCGGATAGAACGCTTTCTCTGGTGCATCTGTGGAAATTGAGAAGAGTCTTTATGGACACGCAGAATTTCCCTAACTTTCTGAAGAAGTAGAGGCATTGTGCTTTCTTGACCGTTACATCAACGTAGAGGACCAGGACAGATTGCTGGTGATTGTCACTCCCAGGAACTTGATACTCTCGACCACCTCCACCTCAGCTTCAGTAATGTAGACAGGTGTGTTGTTAACACAGTGTTTACGTTGCTTATTATAGATTTTATTTTCTTGGGTCTGGCAGTGAAGCTGGAGCAGTGACCTGTTTATAGACGCAGCCTGCATTCAGAGGGAAATAAATTCAAAACAAAGGGTGGAAACAATGGGAGGAATTTAATCATCTTAAAAATATCTCAAACTCTGTTTGTAAGTTTCTATGTTGGTTTGAAAAGACATCTTCAGAATTTGTCTTTGCTATCTTTCTGGGGGAGGTGATTGCCTAGTGGTATTATCATTGGACTGTGAATCTAGAGACCCAGATAATGCTCTGGGGACCCAGGTTCAAATCCCACCACAGCAAATGGTGGAATTTGAGTTCAACAAATATCTGGAATTAAGAGTCTAATGATGACCATGTCAATCATTGGGGGAAAAGCCCATCTGGTTCACTAATGTCCTTTAGGGAAGGAAACTGCCATCCTTAGCTGGTTGGACCCACAGCAATGTGAACGTAGCACAGTACAGGCTTTTCAGCCCATGATGTTGTGCCAACCTATTATTACTAAGATCAATCTACCCTGCATAGCCAACATTTTACTATCCTCCATGTGGCTATCCGAGTCGTTCAAAAGTCTCTAAAGTATCTGACTCCACGACCACTGCCGACAGCCATTCCACATGCCCACCACTCAGTGTGAATGTGGTTGACTCTTAGCTGCCCTCTGGGCAATTAGGGGGTAAATGCTGTCTAGCCAGCTACGCCCTCATCCTGATAATGAATTTTAAAAAACAATTTAGTTTAGAGTTTCTGTGGTGAGATAATTGACAATTAAGGCAGCTGTTTGGATGTTGATGACTAATAGACCATTCAAAGGTGTTGAAAAGTCTGGCTTCAAGCAATTATATCTATTTTACTTAAACTTTGTGCAATTAGAGACCAGTCACAAGAAACAAGCAAAAGTTTTGAAATGCAACAGCTCAAACGGAGAATGAAACTTTATCTTAAACAAGAACCATAT